GTTCACGAGGGCATGAATGACTATTGTAAGATCCTCCCGGTTCAGGTAGGGACGCAATTGGTGCACCAGGCGGACTTGGGCAAACGCCCCTTGGTCACAGCCGACAACTGATGATCTAAAGTCAGCTGTGGGTCCTGATTGTGTCACCTGATTGTTGTCTGCTTAATGTAATACATGCACACTTCATTAACCTATTACTGAGAGTGCTAATAGGTAAGATTGTAAAGACATACACATAATATAAATAAACTTGCTGCATTACATTTTTGAAGGAAAGGGACAATATAAATCAATAAAGACTTTTTTCTATTATTTACAGATAACTTTGCTACAGATGGAGCACAACTTCGACATTGTGAGTATTTCATCTTGAAATTTTGTATACCCTACCTTTTGAGGGCAAATGTCTAAATGAGCTAGATTTAGATTTAAGATTAGAACATTTTGTCTTTAAAACAATGCCTATGGGAACTAGCAGTAAGATGGAGAAATATTGGTTTAATGTTCTGCTTTTGAGCTGATTTGGGATTTCTAGTTAGCTATACTATGAAAGAAAATACTGGGTCAAAATAAATACATTTTTGATGTGATCTGGCAGGACTGTTTTTGCATTTGATTGTTTTCACAGATGAATCATGCTTGTCGAGCCTTAACCTATATGATGGAAGCACTTCCCAGATCATCTGCAGTTGTGGTGGATGCAATTCCTGTTTTTTTGGAGAAGGTAAAAACTGATCAAGAATTGCAATAAAAGACATTGTCAATTAATGTTCTCAAAGTCATTGTTCATTGGCTGTACTTAATACTACTAGCCTGTTTGTGATACAGGAATTCAGAATTTCCTATAAGTTCTTTTGAGAAGTAAATAATGTTATATTTTACATTTATAGCTTCTTCATCGTTCTTAATCGATTAATAATCTTAAATCGTTCTTTCATGTCTAGTATTATTTAAACCTTAATGCCATGTATAGTAGAGATAGAGCAAGAGCCCTAAAAATATAAAACTAGCATATTTAAGAATAGAAAATGAGTTTTTAAAAAGTTTAGATATAGAAATGTGAAGTCTGTCTAGTATTGATCAGATAAACTGTAAAATTTAGATTTTTTGCCTAGTAATCTTTCTATATGTAGCAGTTATCCAAAACAGTGTTTATCTGGACCTAAAGGAAGCTTGAAATATATTCCTTGTATCCTTTGTAATATTGATTAATTATCTGGCTTATTTAATTGTTTTCTTATATTTCTTCCTGATTTGTAGCCAGACATGTTATCATGATGTTAATGTATATTTAGGATACAAGTGAATATATTCTCCCTGAATCTAGTATAAATTCTAGTAGATCAACTTTTTAAATCTAGATCAGTGCTTCCCAAACTTCTTTACCTGAAATGATTTATTAGAAAGTCCTTGTAATATAGCTAAAATACTATAAGCCAATTTAAATTTTCCTCTTGTGATTGTGCTAGATCAGTACTTCCCAAACTTCTTTACCTGAAATAATTTATTAAAAAGTCCTTGTAATATAGCTAAAATACTATAAGCCAATTTAAATTTTCCTCTTGTGATTAATGATTTTGTGTGTTGTTACCTAACTTATCTAATTTTAGGTAATTCATCCAAGTTTGGAAAGGACTGTTCTAGATTTTCCCCCCTAGATTTTGAGATTATCCATGTGTGTCTGAGGGAGTGGCAGCTAATGATAAACATTTAGATGTTTAATTGGGTGTTTTGATCATAAATTAAGTTCAGGAAATAGTTTTAGTTTTCTTTTAGAATTTCTGGTCCTTATATATTTTAGGTTTCAAGGTATTTTGAAATGCCCTTTAAAAACTGCTAAAATGAACGAGAAGAAAAATATGAATTTAAAATGTAAATAATTTACTACATAAGATGAACATTGAACATTTGGAAGTGTTTTGCTATTTTAAACAGTCATCTCGATTCATTGCATATGACTTAAATAATTTTCATTTGTTCCAGCTTCAAGTTATTCAGTGTATTGATGTGGCAGAGCAAGCATTGACTGCCTTGGAGATGTTATCACGTAGACACAGTAAAGCTATTTTGCAGGCAGTAAGTATTGCTTCCAATTAAAAAAAAGTTATTTTTATAATGATCATTACCATGGTTTTCTCTTCAAGCAAATAAAGACTCCCAGAAATCAAAATTCCTCCCTCTCTCCCCTCCCCTTTCTCTCTCACTTGCCCTCCCTCCCTGGATGAGCTAAAGTCTCTTATGACTCAAACATTTTTGTAAACTTTTGTTTTTATAGGGAGGCTTAGCAGACTGTTTGCTGTACCTGGAGTTTTTCAGCATAAATGCTCAGAGGAATGCATTAGCTATTGCTGCCAATTGCTGCCAGAGCATCACTCCTGATGAGTTTCACTTTGTTGCAGATTCTCTTCCACTGCTTACCCAAAGGCTAACCCACCAGGTTGGAAAATTCTTTGAACTGTTGTATAGTTTTAAGTTTTTCATGTTGTACAGTTCAAGATATTTCATGCAGAATTTCCTGTAATTCTAAATGATCGTGAGATCCATTATGGGAGAAAATACTTGATATCAACCTAACTTGACAGCCAAAATAAAAAAGCAATTTGTTTCAGATTTTGGGGCTCTTTTTCTTATAAGATAAGTTAGATGCTTTTGCTTATTTCTTGGTCACTATCTTTAAGTCCTTAGTGACATTTTCCAGGATTTCAGTTATGATATGCATGACATTGTATATTTGTATATTAAAACATAATATTTGTATTCAAACCATATAGGATAAAAAGTCAGTAGAAAGCACTTGCCTTTGCTTTGCACGTTTGGTGGACAACTTCCAACATGAAGAGGTAGCGTCTTTTTTCTCTCTCCAGCATAATCTTAAAAAAGGTTTGATTATATGGAGTATTAATAATTTCTCTTCCTTTTCTCAAAGAATTTGCTGCAGCAGGTTGCTTCTAAGGATTTGCTTACAAACATTCAACAACTCCTAGTAGTGACTCCTCCAATATTAAGCTCAGGGATGTTCATCATGGTGGTGCGCATGTTTTCTTTAATGTGTTCCAACTGTCCTATGCTAGCAGTTCAGCTTATGAAGCAAAGTAAGTTCTTGAGTCAATTATTTTTATTTACTAGCTGGTAGTTTTTATAGATGAAATCCAACGAATCAGTAAATGCTAAGCTGGGGAAAGGATGATGCATAGGGTAGCAATAGAAACTTTTTGAGAAGCTGACAAGGGTACTACAGCATATTTCTTGATGAAATGTTTATTGATATAAGCATAGTCCATTACATGGCAAGGCTGTTCTAGCAGTATAGAAAGTTAGTAACATAATTGTTAAAGCCTAAAACAATACAATAAAAGCAGTAAATTGCCCACATGACTGCTTCGCTCAACCACTACAATCTCAGCATGCCTGGTTGTGATTGTTAAATGCCAAGTAATTTGCGTGGGTTGACTCGGGGATAGGGGGTATCCTGGTGGCTTCACTCAGGAGCTGAAAATCCTCCCTCCCAAAATCCAAGCAGGATTTTCAGCTCCTGAGGGAGAGACAAGCATGGCCTTTGTCGGGCATTCCAGGGTCTCCCCTGACATACCTCACCTTCTTTGCAGTAGCACGCTGCCTTTCTGCTTGGATTTTGGCTCCCTCTCATTGAGGACTGGCTAAAAGAGCTGCGTGCCAAGGGACTTCAGCTCCCTTTTAGCCAGCCCTCAGAGAGAAGAGTGGGTTTTCTCAACAGGTGGGGACAGTTTGTCCCCTTCCCTCAGAGTTTCCCCTTTGATGTTCTGAGGAATCTGGCAGAGAAGATTGCAAAAGGGGATTACATGATCAAAGGGTGCTGGGCAAACTGTTGTAAAGGCAAACAGGTTGCCAAGCACCCACATTGCAATCATGTGACTGCAATGCTTTGCGATGGTTGGAAGTCCTTTATGAGCTGCCATAATTCCAGACCCAACTAATGGCCATAAGTTAAAAACTAATCAGTACTCTTCCTGGATATCCTTATCAGCAACAAAATGGTGGCAAATTAGAAGCCCCAGTGTATTGAAAAACCATCCATACTAACCAAGTGCTCCACTACCAAAGTAACAAGCTCACGTCCCACTGGTGGAACTAGGTAAAAACATAATATACATGAGCAGAAACATACTGCAACAACTTAGAATGCCAGAAGAAGGAGGCAGGCCACCTGTATAGCACCTTCCAACAAGAAGCATAGCCACACAACTTTATCAAAAAGTGCCTTACCATTCAACCCACTACAGCATAACCAACATGAGTTATGAAAAGGATAACACTGCCATACATCAAACACATTGCAAAGCAGCACAGACTAGTATGACCACATGCACTACCATAGTACATAAACCAATGAAAAGCCTCCAAATCATCTAAAATAAACCAAACTATCCAGTAATTAAAAAAAAGAAACCAGAAATCATGTACAACACATATAAGAGCTATAACAGCTACTATGTAGGAAAGACAGAACATGCAATAAAAATTTCTAAATTTCAGAACGTATGGACAAAGTTAGCCATAGTTTCAACTGGAAATCTGTTAAGAAGCTAGACCAGGTTAAATTTAAAAACATTAGGGAATTCTTGGAAGCTTGGCATTCAGACAAATCAGCAGAGACAGAGAGATAAACCACATTTACATACTATTCAAAAGAGATAATTAAAAAGTTAAAAAACAAACAAAAATGATCAGAATATTGCCAGCAATCAATACCTAGATAAAGATTAAGACAAACAAGAAGTAAATAATATCCTAATAAAGGAATTAGAAGTCAGACAAACAAGCAGTAAGCAATAGCTTAATCGAGGAACTACCAAGGAGAAAACAACACCCCCATCAACCCTGACAGGCCAAGTGACTATATAAACAGAGAGCAAACTCCATTTCCTTCCAGCACCGAAGATGTTATCTAGCCAGATAACGAAACCTCTGCAAGAAAATAACAAAGCTCATAGAGCACCAAGACTCCACACATACTGTACTAAGTTTTATTTAGTGGGTAGCCTTAGAAAAGAGATTTCAAAGATCTGTGGCAATAGATAGCAGTGTCATGGCAAGTAATGAGAGTGTTCAAAGTACAAACTATTTGTTTGAGTTGGGCTACAAAATTAATTATGAATCTGGTGTCAGAAGATTGGAGAACTAGAAGAAAGTAGGACCCTAATATTAAGTCTCTGCAAAAGAACAACATAGCAAATCACTTGAGGTGTTTAAAAAGTTCATCAGGACCTTTATTACCTCTCCGTGACATCAGACAGACCATAAAAGCAATTTCTTTGTCAAATCCCAGCCTAATATTTGACTGAAATAGATCATGAAAAAAAATTATAAACTTTTAAAGCATGAATTGGAACTGGATGTCTATATGCCATTAGCTACAGAGAATGTAATGGGGAAAATATTGTTCTAATGCAGGAGTAGCTTTGGCATAATCAAAATTCAACAACTTTCACTGCACTAAACTCTGTTTTGCAAAACAATATTTTTCTTTGAAAAATTAATGGATGGAGAGTAGAATGAAGTGGTTTAAAGTAGCTATTGACATAATCGCTTTTATATAAATGCTTCCTTTCTCGTCTTCCTTTTTCTTCCATTCTGTAAATGTTCACATCAGGAAAAAACACATGTATATTTGTACAGAAGAGCCTCATTCTAAAAAAAAAAAATGTGATGATTGCAAAATTCTTGAGAAGGCCACAATATATCTTTCAATTGTTGTATGTCATGACACTTGCCTAAACAAACATACAGAAAGAAAATAATGCCTATCTTGCAGTGTGTTATGTCCTTCTGCCTTCAAGGGCATGTGAAGTAATCAGTGTTGTGGTTTGGCTATTTTTCAATTGTTGTGTCTAGGTACCTAATTCAGATAGCTAAAAATTGGGTTTGTGTAGCATATTTAATTTATTTATGTTCTGACATTGCATTTGTTGATTTTATCAGTTGTTTAAAGGCGTTTGATTCCAGCAGATTCATAACATTTCACAAGTGAATTTATGGAATCATCAATGAATGATCTGGGTTTGCATAAGCCACAAAAAATCCTACCCTATGTAGATGTAAAACTAGCATATATAACCAACATGTTGGTTATACATTACAGCAGAAACTAATATTTTAATTGTGTGGTTTTTATTAAAGATATTGCAGAAACTCTTCACTTTCTCCTTTGTGGAGCCTCAAATGGGAGTTGTCAGGAACAAATTGATCTTGTTCCAAGAAGTCCTCAAGAACTGTATGAACTTACTTCACTTATCTGGTAGGTTTCAGCTGAAATTATTACTCAGTTTTTGTCCAGGATCATATTTCATAATACCTAAAATGAGATGAATGCTGTTACTAAAACACACATTTACTGTTAAAATGTTGACTTGTTCTTTTTAGTGAATTGATGCCATGCTTACCTAAAGAAGGAATTTTTGCTGTTGACACTATGCTAAAGAAAGGAAATGCGCAAAACACAGATGGTGCAATATGGCAGTGGCGAGATGACAGGGGTCTCTGGCATCCCTATAACAGAATTGATAGCCGGATAATTGAGGTAGTAACATCAGCATATAAACAACTGCATATTATATAGGGGGTTGGACATCACTTACCAGCCACTGTCATAAATATAAGAACAACTAATCAAATTTCAACTATGAATTGCAGGTAGATGTTCGGAATTAGCACTAGTTGGCAAGATGTGATACGAATTTAATATTCATAAATTACTGAATCATTTGTTTGCTTTATCTGTATGATTAAAAAGGATTTCTTCCTAATATTATATTTATTGCTGTTGAAAAGATGTCTCTACGGTCCATCAGCAGGATCACAGGATAGATTAAAGAAAATCAAGATGGTTAAACAATTAAAAAAAAAGCCAATACACTTTTAAAAGTATTATTCTGATATTAGTCACATATAAAGTTAGATGAACTCATAAACCTGTTTTCCATTTGACATTAAGCCAAAATGGTGGTTTTAAAAAATCCTGCAGAAGCAAATAACCCACCCACTATGATTTAGTGTTGTGTGTGAATTAAGCCATTTAAAGCATTCTGTGATTACTCAGAAATGTGTTGCTGGGTAGGAAGAAGAGGAAGTTGTCCTAAAATAATTTGTACTTGTATTTAAACTTATATATTTGTTCTCAGGCAGCTCATCAGGTTGGTGAAGATGAAATAAGTCTGTCTACATTGGGGCGTGTTTATACAATTGACTTTAATTCTATGCAGCAGATCAATGAGGATACTGGAACAGCACGTGCCATTCAGAGAAAACCCAATCCTCTAGCCAATACCAGTACTAGTAAGCACTATTTTATTTTTGTCACTGAAGAGTGCTTCCTGTGTAGTCTTACAATTTATTTTTTCATACATTTATTTCTAGTTTTCCATGCAGCCACCATTCCATATGCCAATTTCACATGGTTACAATGAAATAGTAAAAACAGTCAAAAACTGTAAAACAGCAATAATTTTTTAAAAAAGCTTACTGAAGACCAGCATTAATGCTATTGTCTAAATTTATTTCACCTTGGAGGAGATAATTTTGTAGGTATCCTATGTCAGTATAGCAAAGGGTGATAATTTTACTCAGAAATGTTGGAAGCCAGTGCACTGCCCACAAAATGCTTAAATTGCTTTATATTTAAAGGTAACTTCAGGTAGAATACATTGCAATAGCCCAATCAGCATGGAATGAGAATGTAAGTAATTTTTGTCAGAGGCTCTTGCTCTAAAGGAGATGTAGTTGAGCAGTGGTATCCCTGTTAGTGGTCCAAGTTGTTAATCCACTAGCTTTATATATTCATAATTCAAAAAGCAGATCCCACCTTGGGTTACTAATATCTTGTAGAAGGCATGCTAGTAAATTATTGAACTGCATATATTCCAGGAGTTTCAATTAGCAGGTTTAGCCACACAAAAAGGGGTGGTGGTGCAGAGGCTTTGGAAGGCTTGTAGAGTGCTCCGGGGGGGGGGAGGGGGGAGAGACAACGGTGAGCAAAAATGGCCCATTTTTTGCTCATTTTTACCCTCCCCAGCTCCCAGGAGCATTTTGCAAGCCTCCCAAACCCTCTGCACGTCCATTTTTGCAAAGGGGGTGGGATTTCGATAGGCCAAAAATGCAGTATTCTGTGTATAAGACGCACTCAGATTTTCACCCTCTTTTTTGAGGGAAAAAGGTGTGTCTTATACTCCGAAAAATACAGTAAGTTATATTTAAATTTGTGCTATTCTGTTGGATCTCACTCAGTGGCGGTAGAATGCTATGTTTCAAATCCCAAGGGAGAATATTTCTTTCAGTATGGAGTTAGATAAGTGAACTCGCCAGTGCTTGGTTACAGACTACAGAAGTGATGTATGCCATAACTTTGTAACTAGTTAAGGCTCTATTACAAAACTATTACGTTTTAGATCCCATGTTTATTTACTAGAATATTATTTGAATTTGACTGTTTTATTTATATTTTAAATATGTCCTTCATTTTTTATGATCTATATTCTTTTCTAAAACATTGAGCATTAGCTTGATGTAATAGTTAAGATGTTGGTCTAGAACAGAGGTCCCCAAACTTGGCAACTTTAAGACTTGTAGACTTCAACTCCCAGAATTCTCCAGCCAGCTGTTGAAGTCCACAAGTCTTCAAGTTGCCAAGTTTGGGAACCTCTGGTCTAGAATGGGGTATTGGTTCTTACCTGATACGCTCCTTCTCTGGACAGGTGGAGACAGCAGTCATGCATGGGTTAACTTAGCCAGTAACCAATAGGACTGAGTCTACTGATTAGACGTCATAGCCTCTGAGAAGAGTCCTCCCGCTTCTTTGACGAAGGAGATAAGTAGACTGCTGTGCTCTAATAGGTTGCTCTCGACATTCACATCTCCAGATTATCACATTACTGCCTTTCCGCGAACTAGGCCCACACATAAAAAGAGGGTGGGGATGACTGCTGTCTCCACCTGCCCAGAGAAGGGGGGCGGATCAGGTAAGAACAAATGCCCCATTCTCCAAAGTTGGTGGAGATAGCAGTCATGCATGGGACGTACCAAAGCTAGGATGGTCCCCGAGAGGGCATGAGACTGACTTAGGAGGCTATGACGTCAAATCAGTAGACTCAGTCCTATTACTGGCTGAGTTAACTCATGCATGACTGCTGTCTCCACCAACTTTGGAGATACTAGGAGACTGTGAGTTGTAGCATTGATAGCCACACTGAGTAATTTTAAATCAGTGTCTCTTCCTCAGCCAACCTATTTCACAGGATAATTATTGTGGGGAAAATTGGAGGAGGAAGAACTATTAATGTATGTTCACTGCCTTGAGTTGGTTATAAAGTAATAAAGACAAGATAAAAAATGAATAAATATTCAACAAAACTTTAAGAAAGGTTATTTATTTCCTAGTGGTTTGTTTGAAATTTAGTCAATTACTGGGAAATTTATGATATTTTTTGTAAATGTAAATGTGTCAAATGTTTTCTAAAATAATGCTATAATGTATAAATGGAATGGAATGGAATCAAATTGAATACTATGTGTACATTTAGCTCAATGCAAATAATTAAACATCTATCTATCCTTTTGCAGCCGGACATGCAGAATCAAAGAAGGATGATGCTCGAGCACAGCTAATGAAAGAAGATCCAGATCTAGCTAAATCTTTTATTAAAATCTTATTTGGTGTTCTCTATGAAGTATATAGTTCTTCAGCCGGACCTGCTGTTAGACACAAGTGCCTTAGAGCAATTCTTAGAATAATTTATTTTGCTGATGCTGAACTTCTGAAGGATGTACTGAAAAATCATGCTGTGTCAAGGTACTTATTAATTCATATCTTTGTTGTGAATGATACTAAAGTTTTCCTGAAATCAGTGTCTTGAAATTTTAATAATTTAATTAAATTAAAGTATTTAATTGTTTAAAGTTTCTGTATTTGACAATTATAGCTACAGTGAGATTGAGTCCAAGTGAAAGTCAGATGTTATGATGGAAATATTACTATTAAGAGAAGAGTAAGGCAAGGGTGTATTTTAGACTTCTTCCCCTTTAATTTCTTTATTAATAATTGAGACTCTCACATTTTCTGTTCATTATCCCAAAGTGTTAGGAAATTGCATCTTCAGCTTTGTAGTTCATTTAATTTTGTCATTCTCCCAAGTGGGAATGAGAAAGGCATTGAGGTCATTGTCTTCTTTTTGCCTAAATATTACTTAGAATAAATGATCAAAAAGCTAGTACCGTTATTAGTTTTTGCACTGCATATTGCAGGGCGCATAAGTAGTAAATATAAGTATCTTGAGATGCAGCTGGATCTCTCTTTATCTTAGAGCACACATTTCTCTTATTGGGTCAGGGTGTTCAACATATCGCCTCATCTTGATATTTTCCCATTCAAAATTTTATTCCTGCAACTTGCAGGGTCTTGCTAAAAAAAATTCTCAGCTTGTTTATGGAATTCTGATTTGTACTTTAACAAGTTTATAATATACTGGAAAATGTTGTCCCAGAATTAGTCTTATTTCCTATCACATTACTGACAAATTGCTTTTAGGAAAATTTTAGTGTGGCTTATTGATACAAAGGAAATAAAGAGCTAATGAGAAACTATACAAAATGCAAAAAAAGTAAAAGTAAGAAATAGGATAAAAAATGCAAGGTGTGAGACAGGGAAAGAAAATATAAATAACAATAGTTCACATCAGTGTTATTTGTCTCTCCTTGCAAACCATAATTGCTTCTCTTACCATGCTCTTTATTGCATTTATTCTTTAACTTCTTATTAAAGCTTCTTTTGAAGTTCATGTCCATCCAACCACAATTCAGTTGTCTCTTCCTTTTTGACCCATTCATTTTTCCTTTCTCTATTTGTTAATTACAAATTCTTCACTTACAGTATTTTTCAGAGTATGATGCACCTTTTTTCCTCAAAAAAAAAAAGGCTGAAAATCTGGGTGCGTCTTATACACCGAATACAGCATTTTTTTGCCTCCCAAAGCCCCGCCCCTTCACAAAAATGGCCGTGCCTAGCCTTATGGAGGCTTTCAGACAGCTCCTGGGGGCTGGGGAGGGCAGAAATGAGCAAAAAAAGGGCCATCTTTGCCCCCCCAGCCCCTATAAGCCACCATAAGACTATGCATGCAATTTTTTTGACAAAAACCAGCACGTTTTCACAAAAAATGATGGTTTTTTGCTCTTTTTTGCCCCCTCCCCCAGGAGCACTCTGCAAGCCCCTCCAAGGCTATTAATGCCTTTTATTTGAAAAAAACGGGCCCATTTTCGTGAGGTCTGTAGAGTGCAAAACCTCCCCACCCTTTTCAGAAACCTCTTTAGTGTGATTGATGACAATTACATTTATATCTCTCTCTCTCTCTCTCTCTCTCTCTCTCTCTCTCTCTCTCTCT